GACTTTGTCTTCGAGTAATTTGTTCTTGAATCAGCCTAATTATCTTCATTCTAGCCGTTGAAAATCAAGAGATTGATTTTTCCTTGCCACGGGTAGAATTTCTTCATTCAAGACTTAGATGATTTTCTAAGCTTTTTCTCACTTGTCCGCTTTCTGAGAATTCCGGTCTTTGGTGAGTCTTCCGATTCTTAGCTGACAAATCCGGATGAGTCTTACTTCCGGGTGAGAAGGAGATCCGCGCTAGTCTTCCGATTTGAATGACTTAGTCTTCAGCGGGTTGTAGCGAGACATCCGGTTCTTATGTACTCTTTCCGGATCTGAGGATTTTTATCTGATTGAGAAATCCTTACTTGTTTCTGACACTTCCGATCAAGATATCCAATTTTCATATCACTGAATTTGATCAAGTCTTCAGGCATCAAAACGCTTAAAGAAATATCACAGTTTTATTGGAAAACTCAAGAACTTGGTTTTAACAATATTTCTAAAAAGAAAAATTACATTGAATATTGGGGGAGACCTAAAGTCCCTATTACATAAATCATCATCAAAATCTATAATATTTTTCGCAACAGCTTTTCTTTGAACTGGCAGAATAGATAACCTAGTTCTAGTAGGATTGGGAGAAACCAACTACTAATTAAAGGGTGTTGAATTCTTTCAACAACTTAAGAAATAAGAAAACACTTCTCTTTCCCTTAATCTCTCTCTCTCTCTCATTTTTCTCCCTCCAAAACCCTAGTCGCGCACAACCTTTATGCCACGGCCGACTCCCCCATCCCCTTGCAGGTATCAGCGTCATCCTCTTGCGTTAAATGTTTAACGCATAAGTGTGCATATATCCCCCCCACTGCTATTTTAGCCTTTACACCCAAAAAAAATCAATTCAATTTTTTTTATAAATATCAAACCCCAATCTTCAATCTTATTCACATCTTTCCTTTCTTCAATCTTCAATTTCATTCACACACATCTCTTCAACTCCTTCAATTTTTTTAATTTTTTGTTAACATGAATCCCTCTGGTTCTTCGAGCCAAAGAAGTATGCGATGTGGCTCTTCCAAGCGTACGAGAGTAATTCATCATTGTTTGAAACGCAAACATCGGTGAACCTCAATGACCCGGAGTTGGTCAAGTCTTCAGGCATCAAAACGCTTAAAGAAATATCACAGTTTTATTGGAAAACTCAAGAACTTGGTTCTTCGAGCCAAAGAAGTATGCGAGCCAAGCGTACGAGAGTAATTCATCATTGTTTGAAACGCAAACATCGGAACCTATGGGAACAAAAAAAAAGTGCACGCCGGAAGAGTCACAAAGCGAAAGGCGACAAACCTATGACCGAGGCGGCAGGGTCAATCCAAAAGTGGACGCCACAGCTGAGGAAGAATCCTTGTTGGCGTCGAGTTGGGTTGAAGACAAAAAAAGATCAAGGCTAAATATAATTTGCCTTAGTTTTTTATTAATGTATTTTTTATTAAGTGTTCTTTTTTATTGAATGTAATTTTTATGGATTATTTTCGTTTTAATTTTTTTTATTTAATGAATGTAATTTTTTATGAGTTATTCTCGTTTCAATTTAATTAAATAATAAAATTTTTATAATTTAATTTTAGAAGAAGTTTATTTAAAATGTAAAAAATAAAGTTCTGAAGCCACATGGCTTCCAACCGATTTCTAGTAAATCTATGAGGTAAGTTAAAACTGGCGTAGCAGAGAGAGAAAATTTGAAGTCCTGGGGCTTCACGGGCATTACTAGTGCTCTTATCACCAAGTTCTTCTATATCAAATGCCAAGCTCTTCTCGGTTCTTTTGGAATTATCAACTCTTTCTGGCCTCCATAGCCATGCATGTCAAAGGAGACCATATAGACTCTCAATAACATCCTACAATGGAATCATGGCTCTCATTATTATCAAGGTACAACACCATTTACTCCTATCTAGAGTAGAAGATTAAGTTTTAGCTCCTATTTTGAAGACGTGGCATATGTTTTACTCTTATTTTGAACTGTCAAAAATAAGAATTGAATGCAGATAAATCAATATTTGACCTTTCTATGGATGTAGATATAAAATCAATTTTAAGCGTCTGTTTGGGAACTAGGAAAATGAATTGTGGAAAACAATTTCCTGAAAGTGAATAATTTTCCTGAAATCAATTTCCTTTTCCGGTGTTTGGCTTGGAATTTGAAAATTATCTATTTCTGTTTGGTTTCTTTTATGGAAAATGAAGATAAAATAATTGTTAAAATTAAATCTCCAGAGATGGAAGAAATTAATTCTCCCAGATCCATGATTTGATGAAAGATCGAAAGAATTAAAGACATAGATATGCACATATTGAAGAGATGATGATGGAAAAGTATCGAGATGGACATGGCAAATTAGGCGGTTGCGCTGGGGGTGGCTGACGATTGCACCAGGGAAGGCCAGCGATTGCGCTGGGGAGGCTGTCGATTTCCATGGGGAAGAATGAAGATATGGGCTGAGGCAGTGTGAAGATGGATGAATACTAGTGACATTGAGTGATGAAAACAAAGGAAAATGACTTTGGGAGAAAATATCAAGAAGTCGAACTCCTCATTTTTAAGTTGATTTTCCTGTTGACTTAGATTTCATTCTACTTTGACTCCGTTTTCTTTTTTTTCATACACAATAAAATAAGGAAAATGATTTTTGGAAGTCATTTTTCCCTTTTCCAAACGGACCCTAAATGTCTGTCAAGATCCAATTCAAATTTGACATCCAATAAACTTAAATGGATGTAGATATGGTAATGTTAAATCCCAATTCATTTAACATATCTTTACACTCCTAGTCACGTGCTTTTGCTTTTTTAGGAGATGAGATTAAGTCCCAAGAGTAAGATAGGAAGTGGTGAACAGGTTTTGATCACTACAAGAATCTACCGGATTTCTAATCCAATTTTGATTTTCCAATTTTTTAAATTTTATAGTTTTGAACTAATATTTTCTTGTTTTGAGGTATACATGAGGGTATGAGTTACTCCCTCTGTCCTGTTTTTTATTTGATTCTTCACGATTTCTAATGTAGCATTTCAATGATTAATATAAATCTATTTTTTTCGTAGATATATTTTAGAAAATATACTCCTAATATTTTAAAATTATATTTCAAAATTATTTGATATCTTAGCAATATAATTTCTCTGTCCTATAGTATTTGTCTAATTTCGTTATTTAGTCAACGAGAATATACCTTCGATATTCAATTAAATAAAAAAATATGATATATTTATTAGATAAAATAATATTTATAAATATTATACAAGATAATTTTTAAAAAATCATTTTTGTATCGATATATAATATCTATTTTATTCAATTAATGATCAAAGTTTACTTTTTGATTGTAAAAGGTTAAGACTAAACAAAATTCAAAAAACTTTGACTAAAAAAAGTCAGATATAAAGAAAATTCTCGGAAAAATAATACGGAGTTATGAAATTAATATTGGAGGTTTCTGAAATTAATACGTGATGTTGTTTCTTGCATTTGACTCATTTTTCACATCAAACCTTTTTGGAGACTTATCTTCGAGCCAACCCTAAGCTATACCACTTGTATCCCAAATAGTGCGCCATTGGTGTGACCAACACTTTACGTCAGTGTCGTGTTTTCAACTTTGATGGTGTAGAGGGATGCATAGTTATGAAAGGCGAGCACCATGGTTGCCTATGGCGGTTATGGCGCTGTGGTGATCCTCTTGCGCCTGAATTTGGTCGAGCGAGGTGATGTGCTTGTGGCGCGCCATGGCGGTCGCCATTTCCGATGAAAGCTATGGCGCAAGGCGATCGCAGCTCATGCCTTTCGGATTGCAACCTATTTTATTTTATTGTTAAGAAAACCCCCTAAATAGGAGTAAAACATGTGTTATATCCTCAAAATAGGAGTTCAAACATAAACTCCTCTAAGTAGGAGTGATTAACTATTTTTATTACTTAAATAATAGAAGTATTCACGGGCCATTCATTTTCTTTTCGTCATTAG